GCAGAGACTCCGGCCTCTTCCCAACTTCTTTGATCAACCCAACCACCGATTTCATCTCCTCCACCATCCCGACAGTCACTATTGCCTGCAATTCCTCTTCTGGCGTCTCTGTGAAATAAAGTCGCGAATTAATTTGCAAAATTCACGCTCCAAGAGAAATTAATTCGTGAATTTTGTGCGAATTCTTTCTAATTCGCGTTTCGGCGCTCCAAGTCGGGAGCATCAACCCATTCCCGGCGAATTGTGTGACCTAAGTCTCGACTTGACCTCTGCTCAATGCCTCCTCCTTCCCGAACACCAAACAGAGCATTTAATTAGTAGGGCTTGTGTGGGCTTTTATGGTCCCAGGCTTGGACCACTTCTAGAGATGGGCTACTGCCGTGTACCTTTACATCCCTTGGACCTTAAATGGGCCTATTGCCCATTAATGCAGAGCCCTTGCTGTACCGTACGGCAATGATTATGTGCTCTACTAGTATTAATACAGGTGGCCTGCTTGTTCTGACCACTCAAAAACACAATTCATACTACTACTTCTTGTTCCTCTAATTTTGCTTGTAGATTATCTTTTCAGCCGACAAATGTATGTACCATGGTGTTGGGCTGCCAAACCTCAAGGACAAGAATGAGAGCAGATGAGATTATGGATCTATATGAGCCCAATGTGAACTACTGAAGATAAAAGCCCAGTACAACAAGGAACCTTTGGCTTGTCTGAAATTGAAACAAGCCCAAATCAAGAGGCCCTTTGAAACAGTCGACAGTTTCGCTAAATCGTATGGCAACCAACCCCGAACCCACGGGTACCCACCCGACCCAACCCGGTCAACGCGGGTAAAATCCGTGTTGACGGGTTTTGGATCGGGTTTGGGTTTAAACCCGTTCACTATTCACCAGGTTGGGTTGGGTTTGGGTTTAGGTAAACCCGACCCGTGGGTACCCGCCCACACATATAATTAATTTTCTCGGTATATTTAATATTTTAAACAACTAATCTTATTTATGTTTGTGGAGACATGTCTAATTTTTTCTTTCTAATTGTGTAGAATGAAGTTTGTGTTATCGTATCGAGTGGAGAATGAAGAAACTTAATTGAAAGGAAGAAGCCTTCAATTAATATGTTATTTATGGATAATTTATGATTTACTTCAATTTCCTTGAGTTTTCTAGATTGGTGTTGAACAATTTGTATAGTTAATTTGTGATTTGCTTGAATTTTCTAGAATGGTGTTTTAAATATGGATAATTTGTATTGAGAGATTGATATTTGACTTTAATTTTGATAGGAACATGTTATTGTAAATTTTTTTACGACAAAAACCCGTGGGTACCCATGAACCCGCGGATACCCAGCGGGTTGGGTTGGGTTTGAGTTTTTCAAACCCAGTGGGTTTTACCCCAATTTTTTTTCACGGATAAACCCATGGGTTTGGATTTGTCAAAACCCGACCCAACCCGACCCATTCCCATCCCTAATCGTCACCGCACTCCTGTCAAATATTCGGTCACCGTATCAAAGATGTCAGGTGATTGATTTGAAAGCATTGACATGAAAGGGAAGAGAAGAGAAGAGAAGTAGAGGCGTGCGAGTTGCCATTCCTTTCGTGGGATTCATGTCTCATGACTCGTGAAGTCATGACCATTGACTCTCTTTTATAAAGTCTAGTCAAACACTTGATTTTTCCTTTTTTTTCTTTTACTTTGTTCAAAGGATATTAGGATAATTATTTCTCCATTACAAAGCGAAGGAGGGAAGGACAACACACATAAAAAATGGATTTTGAAAATTTCAGGCCTAATGCTCTTAAGTACAGATTGTGGAGTTTCAAGGGTAGAACAGATGTATATACTTCCTGTTCTTTAATTTTATTACGTGCGTTTCTTAGGAAAGTTAAATGCCCGAATTTAAGTAGAGATGTAATGAATTTTGACAACCAAAGACATGATTTTACAAAAAAATATATCAGTAAACATGTGAAAAAAATCTTCAAACAAAAATCAACCAACAACCATAATAGTTTTTTGCTTAACAATGGTTAGCAATTAATGTTGCAATCATAGAAATTTGAATACAAAACCTATTAATAAATTATAAATTTAAATATCATATCAATAATCAATTAATCCCAATAGATTAACTTATTGATAATTTTTTCAAACATATTTTTTTACTATCCTTCCTTCAATAATATATAGTAGAGTTTTGTCTACTTTTCTTTATTTCAAATTTTCTGGAACGAGAGTGAAAGTAGGAAGGACATTTTTGTATTTTCAATTAATTATTGATTCTATATAAAAAATGTCAATATCAGGATTTGAAACTGATTCTCTTCAAACAAAGACAACAATCGCAACCAATTACACTAAACAATTTTTTTTGTATTTTTTTAATATAGAACATACACGAAGTGACACTCTGAAAATCAAAAGACTTTTTCATCATGATTAGCAAGCCAACTAAATCTGTCATATGTATTTTTATTGTGCTTGATACTGCAATTTTCATAGTAGAGTTTCATGTAGTTTCTCAATTCTAAAATCACTGCTCTCTCCTTAATTTTCGCTAAAGGTGAATTGGTAATTAGCCAACATGGAATAAACTAATTCTATTACTACGTGTTTTGTCCTTGCATTTTTTAATTTATATTATTTTTTTATCTTTGTTCTTATCTTTTTCTAACTTCCTATGAAATTTCCTCCATCGTGCAATAGTTTGCGCCCCTTCACTTCACAGTACAAGGTCGCCTTTGAAAATCAATCTTCTGGTCTCTTGGCATTATGATTTTATTTTTGGGGATTTAAACTGGGCAAGTAAAAAATTTCAATTTTGGTATCAATCCATGGTGAATAGAATGGAGTTCAATAAATGGAGGTGCAAAAGGAGGATTAAAATCGAATTTTTGGTTGACACATACTCCTCTTGAGATTGAAGATAGAGTGGATAAAATTTTTATTGTGCAACGGAGAGTGGTGGCTATTGGATCTTTAGGTTTATGGTTTTTGAAGCTATCACAACCTAATTCTATCTTAAAACGAGGAATCATCAATTGATTTACTGAAGTAGGTCGGTCGATTCTTTATTCAACCTACTGGAATTTATAGAAATGGAGTGTCTAATTTTGTTCTTTATTACTTTGATAGAATCTATTAATATATTGGATGTAACCCTAATTTTGGCGTTTGCTCTCAAGTTGTGATGGTCCCCTCTTAGATGAGTTGTTAGCATATGGTTGACTTGAATCAACAACTCTTCATTTCTTTTTGATTAGTGGCATATTGTTCCTAAAAGGAGAGCATTGAACCTTTATGTAGGATTGCGAGGTTTAAGATTTAGTTTCAAACTATCTATGGTTCGTGAGGGAATTTCAGTGAGCTTTTATACTCTATCTTTCTTGACAATCAACTAACCAACAACATTTTGCCGGGGACTTAAATTATCATTTTGAAAATGAGATCATTGATACATTTTTATATATCTTCAAATATTCTATCTATATATTATTTGTTTATGTATCATCTCGATCAAAATATTGTCAATAAAATTAAACGAATTAATAGACTTAAACGTAACATGAAATATAAATATTTCGGGCAACGAGCCGGGTTACAAACTATTCCCTTAGAAAGTAAAGCTTATTTTTTTTCCTTCCCTTTTCTTTTCTATCCCTCCATCACCATTTGTTTCCCAACTTTGTCCTTTTCATTAAGACCTCTTCTTCACTGCTAAATTAATGTCAACGAACTCCAACGAGTTATAACTTTTAGGACTTTGCTACGGTGACATGCATGTCACGGTGACATGCACTTTTCGGTCGACCTCATATAGGATCAGGTCGACCTAATCAGTTGTTTCACTGTAAAAACAGTTTCATGGTGCCTACTTTGGAGATTCATATCTTACAATTGGCTAGATGGAAATTGGAGATTAAAGGCTTGTTTTGAAGCTGAAGTGTCCATCTACACATTAAAGTACTTGGGAGCTCAATAGAAAGTTCAGAAGACCTTTTTTGAATCTGACCAAAAGGCTATTGCCAAAATTGGGAAACTGCCTGAAAATGGCTAAGTCTGGCAACGTGTTTGTCAAGTCTACTTTGGAGCTCAATTTGAGAATCATGGATGCGAGTCAAGTCCAGGGGCCTCTACCACGTTAAATTACGTATTTTTTTATACAAAGGCAAGGCATTGGATGAAAGATTCAATATCTTTAAGGCTTCAAACAAAAGGCTCGAAGTTGCTACGAAGGCTGTTTTTCTGGCAGCTTGCTTGTGCTCAAAGTCTGCCAGAAAAACAGCCTTCGTAGCAACTTCGACCCTTTTGTTTGAAGCCTTAAAGATATCCAATCTTTCATCCAATTCCTTGAATTTGTATAAAAACGTACCTAATTTAACGTGGTAGAGGCTCCTGGACTCGACTCGCATTAATGCTTCTCGAATTGAGCTCAAAAATAGACTTCACAAACACGTTTCCAGACTTAGCCATTTCTAGGCAGTTTCCCAGTTTTGGCATAGCCTTTTGATGAGGTTCAAAAATGGTCTTCTGGACTTCCTATCGAGCTATCAATCACTTCAATATGTAGAGGGACACTCCAGCTTCAAAACAAGTCATTAGTCTTCAATTTCCATCTAGCCAATTGTATGATATGAATATCCAAAGTAAGCACCGTGAACTGTTTTTACACTGAAACAACAGATTAGGTCGACCGGATATCACCGTAGGCACACCCTAACTTTTAAGCTTGAATTAGTAAACATCCTTCTACAAATTTTAGAAAACAAATTGAAAAATGAGTTTTGATACGTAAGAAAAATACTCGAACCATAAATTAATTGACTTTTAAATCTGTAAGTCTCAATTCAATCCTCAACTCCACCAGTCCATATTTCACGCTTGTAACTCACTTATTATGAACATTTTCCCTATCGATCTTTACAAAAAAATAATTTCGATCTCTACCCTTCACAGTTATAAAATTGGAATCAACCAAAAACATCAAGCAACAACTACAACACAGAGTTGGGAGATTCCCCACCGCCACCCTCCAACACAATCTCGAACAAATCCGCCTCCGAGTCATCCTCCCTTTCCGCCGCCGCCACGTCATTCTTCCCTCCCCCGCCGCCATTGCTGTACGAATACCTCGACCCGCTCCTGTCCAGCCACTGCGAATCGATTCTCCCCATCGAAAACAGCTCCCTGCTGTCCTCGTACCCGAGAGCACCGCCACCGGGGGACTTCCCCTGCATCCCGCCGACGAAGCAAGGGTTCGGAGTCCTCTGCGCGTTCGCCGGCGCGTAGCTGAACGCGCTCTGCCCCAGGTTCACCACCGCCACCGCGTCGCTGTTGGCGGCAATCGTCGGGTACAGCGGCGTCCCGAACTCGTCCGCCTTGCAGTGGATGATGTGGACCAGGTCGCCGTCCACCGTGAAGAACACCTTTTTCTGTCTCGGGTCGTACCCGCACCCGATTACTCTGTTGTCGGATCTTGCCCACTCCGATGATGATGATGATGATGATGATGGCTCTGTTTCGAATGCTAGCTTCAGACCTGTGGGAGAGAAACAGAGGAAGGGTCGATGTCATTGTTTTGTTGATAGAGGGACCACTGTGATCGATTGAACAACTGCTCTCTATGGTTTAATTAAGGATTGTAGATGATGATAATAATAATAATAATTGTTAGCTATCTGGTTTAATTAAGTTTGTTTATTCACTCCATCAACTTCATTAGTTTGTATCTAATGCTGTCCCGATGGCACTATTATGCTGCCACATTTTTTTTTTGTTATCCAAGGTTCGAATCTAGGGTGTGATGGATGTTCTCATCCCTATTACTAGCCCAACTCTTGGAGTTATGTTGTCACATTTAGCCCATATGGGTTTCGTTGGATTATAGTATCGCGTTAGTATAATGATCAATACTTCATGACACGTGAATTTAACGATGTTCACGAGCACTACACGCCTTCTACGATTATTGTAAATTTATATTGTCCAACTAAAGATGTAAATCCCAACAAGTAAGGATGCATATGAGTTAGTCGAGTCGAGTCAAGTCCAGTTTTGTCTAGTTCAACCTCGGCTAATTGGTAAACGAGTTGAGTTTGAGATAGCTCACAAGATAAAAACGAGCTAGCTTACGAGTTGAGCTCGACAAGTCAGCGAATTGAGCTAACTCACGAGCCTCACGAGCTCAACAATATTTAGCTCAATATTGACCCGTTAATAAACGAGCTGAGTTTCGAACAAGTTTTTCTCGAACTGAACATCAATCAGCTTATGAACAGCTCAACTCATTTACAACCTACCACTAATGATAAACTATGTTCCCACTACGATTTTGTTAATCACTCATAGTGCTAGCAGTGTTCTAGAAGTCAAAAATAATAATGCCAAATGATAGATTAAAAACTTGATTAAAATGGTACGGAGATGGTGGAGTTACCATCAAGATAAACGGAGCCGTTGGAGTTGAAGCCGATGGAGCCATGGTAGCTACCGGGGAGCTTAAAAGGAGGGAAACCGCCGCCAACAGAGAGCCCCACCGCCACCGCAACACCGTCGCCCCTGTTCTCATCCTTCCCACCGGAGGAAACCCTCAGCTCCTCAATCCTATTAATCCTCTGGCTGCTGCTGACGTGGAGCAAAGCCGCCGAATTCGAATTCGGATTCGGAATTTCCCGAATCAATTTAATCTTCTCCCCTTCCCCTTCCCCGCCACCATCCCCCTTCCCCGCCGCCGAAGACGACCGGCTCCTCTGACTCTGCTCCTCCCCTCCCCCGTTGCCGCTGCGGGAGTACGAAATTGTGACCTCGAAGTAGGCTTCCTGCGGAAATGCCGGAAGCGGGCCCGGCAGCGGCAGAGCCGTTCTGATCACGGAAGCCGCCGTGACCGCCGGGTTGCCGACGGCGGCTACCCGCTTCAACCCGGGATTCAGGCGGATCCTCTGCATGAAATCCGCCGACGCCTGGCTCACCTCCCAGCTCATCTCCGGCGGCGGGTAATGATAATCATCTCCCGAGGCGGCGCAGAGGCCGAGGAGCATCGAGTTTCTGACGGAGCCGGAAACGGCCGTCGGTTGTGCGGCGACGAAGCCGAATCGGGTCCATCCGTTCTCGACGGCGTCGGTGATTAAGGAAGGGTGATCGGCCCAATTGAACAGCGGCCGGGCGGAAGGCCCGCGCTTGAAGGCGTAGTAGTTCCCCCTCCTCTTGCTGTCGAGAAATTCGTCGCCGGCGCGGTGGTGGAGCTTGGCAATTCCGTCTTGCAGGGTCGGGCTGCGAGGGGCCGGGTCGAGGATGGAGTCGGGTCGGGCCGGGCGTTTGAAGCAGTAGTAGCGGCAGATGAACATGATTAATAGGGAGATTAAGGAGATTGATGAGATTAGTACTAGAAGGGTGTGCTGCCAAACGAGCATTTCCGGCGGGAGATTAACGAAGAAAAAAGGGGATTAAGGGTAACGAGGATTGGTGTTGGTGGTGGAGCATAGGAGAAGAAGCATTTCTTCTTTTGAAACGGTTAGTGGGAAAGGAGCAATGGAGGTTTCTTTCCCGGCGTATATATATTTTGTTGGTATCATGCTATGTGACGAATTAACTTGAAAGGTAGACTAGCTTTGTACCCGGTCTGTTGGCCCGGTGAGTTTTATTTGATTATTTGTGTTAATTAAGTTAATTATTATATTTGCATTATTATTATTTATATATTTTAAATATATTATTTAAAATAATTTATTCTCTGACATGTGAGTTATTGATCTACGGAAGGCTCAACTATTGCTTAACTTATCAAACAATCACCGAATACTCAGTCACCAATTTTGTGTTTTCAACTGTACCCCACTCCTAATCCAAAAATATTGAAAGTCGTTTAAATTGATAAATCCTAAATCGATTATAGACATATTTTGAAAATTCTTGTAATTTATTATGGTTATTTAGGATGATTTAGTTTTATAATGGTAACTATTGCAAAACAATTTATATTAATCCGTTTATCAGTTTTACAAAAAAAAAAATCATGAATCGTGAAGTGCCAATATAAGTATTTAGGTAAAAACCTTTAGCCTCCAAAATAATATTGGAACTAATATATTCAAGAGAAAAATATTGAAACTAATTATCTCATACAATAACCTATAGTCAATAATCTGGTCCAGAAAAGAATGGTTTCATAATTTTTTTTTAATAGAAATTGAATCTGTCCAAAAAAACAATCCATGCCATTTAAATGAAAGCTTCTCTTTGTTAAAAAAAAACTATGCGTATATAAATAATAATAAAAACATGAAATTTTTGGAATAAAATTTAACTACATGCTTACAAATCGGGATAAGGATTTACCATTTCACACGAAAATTGAATGCAATCAAAGAAAAAATATATATACTTTATTATTTTTTTATATAGAAATTGGAATAATTCTTTTCCACCTGCTACAGGAGAAAAAGAAAAATGAGGAAGGATATGTAAAAGGCCCATTGATGAAAGAAAATCAATAAGAATTTAGATGCAGAGGAAGAGGAAAAATGGAGAAAGTGACGGTTTCATATTAAAAAAGAAACTGAGAGAGAGTTGTGATTTCGTGAAAAAAAAAAAAAATAAAGAGAGAGAAAGTGATGCTGGCGTGGACACATGATAGTGTAGGAAATTTGAAATGGAGAAGGCTTTATTTGGAAAAGTCTTATTATATTTTATAGATTAATTTTTTATTTTGGTGAAAAATGGTAAAACTTGGAGGCCACAACTAGAAGGTGTGAAAGAAGAAAAAAAGAAGTCTTAGTTCCTTGTGTGGTCTGGTCTCATTTGACTTGACTACAAATTTATCTTCTATAACAGTTAGTGTGTTGAAAGTTGAAACAGATGATTAACGTGTTAGTATTTGACTTGACTCATTTTTTTCTCCTCTATATTTAGTCTATTCGATTTGTAGGTAATGTGAGATATCACATTTCATTCTTGATTGGTACTATATGATTGTTTTGTAAATTAATGATTGAGCTAATAAGTTATATAAATCAACTTATTTACAGACTCGAGAATATGAGATAAACAACGGTATTTTACTACTAGTAGATGTCGTTATCTATTTTTACTTTTACAATTAGCATACATTATATGAAATGTACATACTGAAACTATGGGTAAATACTATCAACTTTATATAAAAAAATAGGTCGAAAAATTATAGATATACATCTTCTTAGAATTTAAAAATTTTCTAAACAATATTTATTCACAAAATTTTCCCAAATATGACCCAAAAAAAAAAAAAAAAGAAGGTAATGATGTCCTATTAATTTTCTATCAAGACCGGGACTCCCCCATCCGACAAGTCTCTCCCCTTAGCCTTAAAATGGATTTCACAGAGAATCACAAAAAAAAGGGGATAATATAAATTAGAAAGAAACGTTTCTGGTTGCACAAGCTACAAATTCGGTCAAATTTCTAATGAATTTCGGTAGGTGTTGGGAAATTAATAATGGCAAGAGAAAAAGAAAATGAGTCGTCGTACGTCCAAATTGAAATTTTGTCTCTTTAGATATGATGTTAAGTTGCTAACTACACAGCCAAAAAGGTTACCTAATAGTGTTCCCTTATTAGCATCACAAAAAGTTGCAATCCTTCCTAATATTTTCGCAAATCCCCACCATACCACAGCAACCATCCTTCATGGCTTCCAATTAAATTATATGAGTTTCGGATTTTTCCCCGAAGCCGATAAGATATGCAGGTTGACATGACGTGTATTTTAGTTCGATCTTCCAGTCAATATGATTTTTTTCGATAAAATTCAACACTCGAAATATTCATGAGACTCAGCCAACATAAAACACAGGAATCCGATTGTTAAAGATATTTGGTTGGCAGAGTGTACTCTTTACTTTCATTTTCAAAACTTCCCATAAAAATTCCTTGGTAGAGACATGAATTATATGTTCAAATCACCAAATCCGTAAATCTGCAACGTATTAATAAAACGTGATATCGCGAAAGACGGAGTCTCCAATCTGATTTCAGTAGTGATGTCAACAGGAAAAAAAAAAAAAAAAAGGCAGCGACATTAGCCAATAGTTTGGCGGCCGGACGCAGTGGTCCAAATCCGGTCGCTCCTAACCAATAGTTTAACTAATACAGAAGTCTAACTAATTAAGCACATAATCAGCTAGCGAGGAGATGCTGATTCCTACTTTGATCCCTCCCAAAATTTTTGATTAAGGGGAAGAATCAAATTTTGTTACAACTACACAGGATATTAATTTCAATGACATGAGATATGGATGCGAATAAATAATATCGTATGATGTGGATAAACTATTAATTCCATTGTTAATGCGACAAGGATGCTGAGAGCAAGAAGCCAAAATTAACCAGTTAGGTCTCACAGTTTATTAATTTGAAGTTTCTATGCTGGAACGTTTTTTTTTTAATTATCAAATACTGGAACGTTACAGTAAGCTATCAAAGCAAAAAACCAAAAACAAAATAGGCAAAACCAAATTAGGTAATAGGTACGTCCTGGGAAATCTTTATTTAACTTGTTCTTTGTTCATTCAAGATGGTGTAAAGTGTTCCAAAGTACAACCATTACACAATTGAATTTAATTGTTTGCTTGATGTGATGAAAACTATCACTCAAAATGAGTGATAGTATTATCTCAAGTTTTTTGCGAGTTTGTGGAGATTGTTTGGTTGAGATTGTTGGAGTGTTTTCTTCTTCCAACTATGTCCCTACCTTTTGATGTGTTTTACTTTTTTATATAAAAAATAAAGGGTAAAAGTGACATTTCACCCAGAAAGCAATATATCTTATTTAAATACTAGAATAACTATCACAGAAACCAAACGAGTGTTTTCTTCTTCCAACTATGTCCCTACCTTTTGATGTGTACTTTTTTTATATAAAAAATAAAGGATAAAAGTGACATTTTACCCAGAAATCAATATATCTGACTCGCACGAAACTACACCACAATAAAATCCCAACTAGAGCCCAAGTTTTTAAACTCTAATCGGGTGCAGTATAGGGCAAGTATTTAGATATCGACCCGGGCCAGTCTGTCTACCCCTACTTCAGTTGTTGAAATCATTATCTAGCAACAAAACTTTGGTTTAAAGGTTTGCTAATTGAAATGAAAGAAAGCAAAGGTAAATGGTTTTGATAACTCTTTGGTGGAAAGATCACTCAGGTGTCGCTCCCCCCTTAACTGCTACAATGCTATGTGAATTGGAACGATTGCTTTGGGCACGATAATCGTGAACTGCAGAGGGATGCCTATATGGTCGGAGACCACAATCTCAATTGCTAAACCGAGGTAGGCATGAAAGGCCGTGTCACTCGACCCTCTCGGTTTAGACAATCGGTAATTGACTTACTCCCTCATTCAACTCCAAGGTCGAACGGCTTGATCGCGATTAACCGACTTGCTTAACTCAATATCGAGGTTTGCCCTAACTTAACCTAGCTTAGGTGGCTTAGAAAGCGGAAGGAAAACCAACTTGATTGAGTCTCCCTTAGAAGGGGGATTTTCCTCTCTAAGCTAGGCTAAGGTGGCTAATTAGATTGCTAGCACCTACATGCACAAACCTAAGGGTGCTAAGCACAAAACATGCATAACCCCTAAGTTGCTAAGCACAAGCATGCACAATCATGATAAATAATGCCTCAATCATTGAATTGAACAATACTCAATGACATTCATCCAATACACATACAAGCAAACTACATGGTAGAGTTAGGGTTTCACAACACCCAAGTGAAAGGAGGTATACTCCATGCTAGAAGTGGGAAAAACAGAAGGGAAAGAGATGGAAACCATCTTGGAGGATGCTCACAGTCTTCTTGGCCCTTGAGTTGAGCTTTCCTTGGAGGAAATCTTCCCAAAATCTGCCTTGAAACTAAACCCTAGCCTTCTTCTCCCCTTGGTTCGTGTTTCTCTCTCTAGAATGTAGAAGAAGGCTTTTCACACTAAATGGGCTCTCTCCTCTCTCCTCCTTTCAGCTCATCTTTTAAACCAGAGATGAGCTGAGTTCACGGCCGTGAACCATGAAACGTGTCCATGAACTCCAGGCGTGCGCCAAAATGCGCCGCATCGCTAACATCTGTTCACGGTCTTAGTGACAGTGAACTCACCTCACGTCAGTAACCTTCATTTTGGCTCTGGAAGCCTCGCGATTCACGGTCAACTCCTCTTCTTCACGTCTTGCATGACCGTGAACTCCCTCAGTTAGCCGTGAACTGGCTCTTTTTCACCTCTCTCCCGGTTTTCGATCCTTTTCGCCAATCTTTCGACTCTGAGGCTAGTTTCACCTGTTTAAATCCTGAAACACACTCAAACAGGAAGAACCTAGCGTAAAGCCAACATTTTAGGAGAGAATTTGGCACAAACATCTAAGTAAAAAGGGGGCAAAACATGTG